GTGACTCCCTAGGGTGAGGCCACAGATGGGGGGTGTGTCTGGGGCAGCTGAGGGGCAGGACTGGCAGGGGGCTGGGGGGGCGGGCTGGGTGGGCGGGGCAGAGGGGAACAAAGGTGAGTAAGGAGGCGGAGGCGGCAGAAGCCAGGCAGCGGGCAGGGGGAGAGCCTCTGGGGAGGGGACCTCAGGCCTGGCTCCCGGTCCCTCCCTGCAGAGCAGGCCGCCAGATGCCCAGGTCAGTGCTCAGGGCCCAGCTCTGAAACCCTGCCCCTTGCAGGTGCCTGCATGTGGCTCCTCTGGCTCTCGGACTCCTTAGTCCCTCCGGGGCACATCCCTTTCTCAGTCTTTGCTGGTGTCTGCATCTTCTACCTCCTGCCTCTGTCTTCTCTTTTCTCCCCCTTGTCTTTTCGACCCTACGCTCTCATGTCTTGCATCAGCCTGGTTTCATTTCATTAAGCTGTCTGTCTCCTCTCAGCGTTTCTCTGGCTCTCAGATCTCATCCCTCTTTTTCTTCGTGTCCAGGTTACTTTCTCCATCTGGAGGTAACTGGTCTGTGGGTTTTTTTCTCTGCCTCTGCATGTCCCTTTTTGCCTGATTTCCCCCAAAGCCCTTATCATCCAACACACTGTCTTTCTTTATCTTGTTTTTCTGTTTTCTGATTAAAACATAAACTTTATGAAGGCAGGGGGTGTTTGTCCATTTTGCTCCCTGCTGTGTTTGCTAGGCCTGGCACTGTGATTGGCACCTGGAGGGTACTGAATAATTACTTAGGGGATGAATGAATGAATGAATGAATGTTTGCATGCCTGGGTGTGGACCCTCCAGGATGCTGGCTTTCCTGTCCAACCGATGCCTTCCCTGCTGCCTTGGGGTCTCCCCACACTTGTCTGGGCCCGTCTGTCTGCGGTGCACCTGTGATGGTTCCTCATTGTCTCTCCCTGTCCGCAGGCCCTGCCCATTTCCCTCCACCTGACGTGGGGGTCCTGGATTCTGACTCTTGTCCTTCTTTCCTACAGAGGCCAGACCAGGAGCTGAGCTGGAGCTGGGGCCACAGGCTTAGGACTGTCCAGGACAGGGCCGGAGCCATGGCCCCGCCACCGCTGTCACCCCTGGCCACCAGCACTCCACTCCTGCATGGCGAGTTTGGCTCCTACCCAGCCCGAGGCCCACGCTTCGCCCTCACTCTCACACCACAGGCTCTGCACATCCAGCGGCTGCGCCCAAAGCCTGAAGCCAGGCCCCGGGGCGGCTTGGTCCTGCTGGCCGAGGTCTCGGGCTGTTGCACCCTGCGCAGCCGCAGCCCCTCTGACCCGGCGGCCTACCTCTGCATCTACACTTATCCTCGGGGCCGGCGTGGTGGCCGGCGCAGAGCCACGCGTACCTTTGGGGCTGACGGGGCGGCCACCTATGAGGAGAACCGGGCCGAGGTCCAGCGCTGGGCCACTGTCCTCACGTGTCTGCTCCGTGGACTGCAGCTGCCTGGGAACGGGGGTGAGGTCCCGGGCAAGCTCGGAGTCTCTGCGCATCTCCCTCTGCGGGCATCTCTGTCTACTTTTCTGTGTGTCTGTGGAATGTCTGTGAGTCTGTAATGGAAGTGCTGCCGGACAGGCATAGGCGACAGGAGGAACAAAAGCACGGGCCGAGGGAAGCTATTTGTGTCTGCTGCTCTCTCGCTAGGTTCTGTCTCTTCCTTCCCCTTCCCTGGGTCCTGACCACGGGTGAGTCAGAGGCTGCCGGGCCGAGGAGAGCAGCAGACTGAGACGTGGTCAGTCACCACCCAGGGCGCCCAGAGGTGGCAGCTAGAGCATTAGCGTAGGGGGGCCCAGAGGAGGCTTTCAGGCGGAGGACCCCCACCCAGGGGGCCTCAGTTGGCACAGGAAGGTCAGGGTTCAAGGGTCCCCATCTGGTGGGACTTGGCCCTCCAGGGTCCTGCTGGCTGCCTGGGGGACGGTCCTAAGGGGTGGTGACAGTAATGGAGCCTCGCAGAGTGGAGCAACCTGATCTGGGATCTGGGTGTTGTTGGTGAGGAACGGAGCTCTCCTTCCTCCCACACGTGGGTCCAAAGGGCACTGGGATTAGACACCCAAGCCCTGTCTTTGTCTCGGAAGGGGGTGGCATGGGCACGTGAAGCCTGGGAGGCAAAAAAAACGAGGCTCCGGTGCCAGCCCTCCAGCCGTCCACTGGGGGCTGTTTGCAGTTGCCGTTTCTGAGGTCAGGGGCCTGGGTCTCTGGCCTCTACCGACTCCTTCCCCTCTCTCTGCAGAAATCACCTCCCATCTCCTGCCAAGGCCACCCCGATTGCTTCTATTGGTCAATCCCTTTGGTGGGAGGGGCCTGGCCTGGCAGTTGTGTAAGAACCACGTGCTGCCCATGATCTCCGAAGCTGGACTGTCCTTCAACCTCATCCAGACAGGTAAGGGCAGTGTCAGGACGGAAGGTGAGGGCTTGGGGCCGAACTCCCGAGTCCTGGGGGGTGGGAGAGCCTGCCTCACCTCCTGGTTTCCCACATCAGAACGACAGAACCATGCTCGGGAGCTGGTCCAGGGACTGAGCCTGAGCGAGTGGGATGGCATCGTCACAGTGTCGGGAGATGGGCTGCTGTATGAGGTAGGGCAGGAGGCCTGGGCCCCGAGCCCTGGGCGGGGACTGTGGAGGCCGGGAACAGGACCCAGGTGTCTGGTTTCCGGCCCTCCAGGTGCTGAATGGACTCCTGGATCGCCCCGACTGGGAAGAGGCTATGAAGACGCCCGTGGGCATCCTCCCCTGTGGCTCCGGCAACGCACTGGCGGGAGCCGTGAACCAGCATGGGGGGTAGGTGGGCTTTCCCTGCCTCCGGTGAGCCTGGGGGTACCCTGAAGGAAGGCTAACTGGGGCCGGGCACATCTTCCCCTCCCGCTGCCAGTCCACTGTCGGGTTCATCAGCCTGGCACGTTTGCGGGTCTTGTTCCCAGTATCCCTAGAGCCTAGAACTGTGCCTGGGACACAGGTGACACTTAGTGAGTGCTTGTGGGATGGATGGAGAGGGAACCTGGCCCAGTAAGAAGAGTCCATCTGGAGGTGGCCAGATGGCTGTGGGTGGGCCTGGGGACAGGGCCGGCCGGGCCCCCTTGCTGTCTGCCTGTCTCCTCCCCGCTCTGCACTCGGTCTCTCCCCCCACCCTGTTACTCTTTCTCACTGTCACTCCGTCTCTGGCTCTGAAGGTTTGAGCAGGCCCTGGGCATTGACCTGCTGCTCAATTGCTCTCTGCTGCTCTGCCGGGGTGGCTGCCGCCCGCTGGACCTCCTCTCTGTGACCCTGGCCTCGGGCTCCCGCTGTTTCTCCTTCCTGTCTGTGGCCTGGGGCTTCGTGTCAGACGTGGACATCCAGAGTGAGCGCTTCAGGGCCTTGGGCAGTGCCCGCTTCACACTGGGCACGGTGCTGGGCCTTGCCACGCTGCACACCTACCGTGGACGCATCTCCTACCTACCTGCCACCGTGGAGCCTGCCTCACCCGCCCCCGCCCATGGCCTGCCCCGCGCCAAATCAGAGCTGACCCTGGCCCCCGTCCCAGCTCGGACCGTGGCCCACTCACCCCTTCATCGCTCTGTGTCTGACCTGCCCCTGTCACTGCCTCAGCCTGCCCTGACCTCCCCTGACTCACCGGAACCACTCCCCGTCCTGTCACTCAATGGTGGAGGCCCCGAGCTGGCCAGGGACTGGGGCGGGGCTGGGGATCCTCCACTGTCCCCAGACCCACTGCTGCCCTCGCCTCCTGGCTCCCCCAGATCAGCTCTACTCTCACCCATCACCGAGGGGGCACCCGAAATGCCAGCATCCTCTGGGCTACTGCCTCCCACCCCTGACGGTGACCCGGTAGCCATCTCTACTGGAGGCCCACCAGACCACCTGCTTCCTCCTCTGGGCACCCCACTACCCCCAGGTTGGGTGACGCTGGAGGGGGACTTTGTGCTCATGCTGGCCATCTCCCCCAGCCACCTGGGGGCTGACCTCGTGGCCGTCCCCCACGCGCGCTTTGATGACGGCCTGGTGCACCTGTGCTGGGTGCGCGGCGGCATCTCGCGAGCTGCGCTGCTGCGCCTTTTCCTGGCCATGGAGCGCGGGAGCCACTTCAGCCTGGGCTGCCCGCAGCTGGGCTATGCCGCAGCTCGTGCCTTTCGCCTCGAGCCGCTCACTCCTCGCGGGGTGCTCACGGTGGACGGCGAGCAGGTGGAGTACGGGCCCCTGCAGGCTCAGGTTCATCCGGGCCTCGGTACGCTACTCACTGGGCCTCCAGGCCGCCCTGGGCGAGAGCCCTGAACCTCGAAACTTGGAGCCTGCTACGGGCGGGGCCTACATTCCAAGGGGGCGGGGCCTGGCTGCTAGTTAGGTCGGAGGCCCCACGTGCAGAGGAGTCCCTGTCTCAGGACTGTGCCCGCCTCCCGGGGACCAGTGGTGATGCTAGAGGGTGGCCCGAATGCCAGTGGGTGAGGGCCATTAGGGTCGCAGGAAAGTGGGCCCGCCCGGGAGGGTAGTGCCTGGCCAATGAGGGCGCGGCTCAGTCCAGACCCTCGCTTCCAGCTGCTGGAAGACCCGGTCGGCTGGGGGCGGAGCCTCTCGTACCCCGTCAGGGCCGGGTCTCGCCCTGTCCACTCCGGTGCCTCCATTGAACCGGCCAGGAGGGGCAGGTTCCCCTGGGCCAACGCTCACATTTGCACTAAGGTTCCGCCCCGTCTGCGCGGGCGGGAAGTTCATTTCCCGTTTTCTGTCTCCTGTGCGTCTCCAGACCCCAATCTTCAAAGCAATTGAAAAGGTCTATGCAATAAAGGCAGTCGCTACATTCCTCTTAGACCCTCGCCCCTGCCTCCGTCTGGCAGCCCCGTGGGAGGGGTCAGAGTCGGCACTTGTAGCAGCTCCGGCCTTTCACGGCCCGGAGTCCAGATGAACCCACAGACCGCGGCCAGTGTGACCCCCCCTGGCCTGGCCCCGGGGCCAGGGAGCTGCCTCCTCCCCACGACAGCTGGCTCTGGGGTTATCAAGATTTATTCAGGATAGTGTTAACGGAGGCGGTGGGAGGGTGGGGTCCCCGACGTGCCGGAGGCACACACAGAGGACCCTCCCCGCCCCCGCGAGGGAGGGGGGGAGGCTCGCTTTTTCTTAAAAATATAAATGTATTTATCTGCATCATCACGTCCCTGGGGCACCCAGCTGGCCGGCCCGTGGACCACAGGATGGGGAGGAGAGGGGGTGTCAGGGCGCAAGTCTGAGTGAGGCGGCGGAGAGCTCCGCCGGGTCGGGGTGGGGCGCGGCCTCAGAGGGCTCCGTGCTGGGCCTGGTAGCGGGACAGCACGGCGCGGTAGTGGGACAGCTCCTGGCGCACGGCCACCACCTCCTGCCTCAGCAGGGCGTTCTCCTTCTCCAGGAAGGCCGCCCGCACCGATATCTGGTTCTCCTTAAGCCGCCGGGCGTCGCGGGACCGCTTGGCTGCCTCGTTATTCTTGTACCGCCGACTCCAATACTTCTCGTCCTGGGGGTGCAGAGGTGGAAAAGCACTGAGGTCCAGAGGGGCCCCCGGCCACAGCGGAAGAAGAAGGGAGGCGCAGCTTTGCTTGTTCCTTCAAGGACCCGAGGGAATCTAAAGGAACTTCCCGGCTGCTGCTTGCCCGGCAGTGGGGTCTCAAGGACACCGGGTCTCCCCTGAGACGGGTATCCAAGGGTCTGCCCATCTCGGGCCCTGGTTGCTAAGGAGAGCGGGACCCTGGCAAAGGCTAGGGCATGAGAAGGCCCCCCACCCCCAACAACTGGGCCTCAAGTCTCCAGAGTGCAAAGCAGACACCACCCTCCTCACTTGACAAAGGGGACAGTTAGCTCCTGGTTGCTAAGGATGCTTGTTCCCTAGCAACAGGGCTTTCAGGGTGTGAGATCCCGGTGAAAAGCACTGCCCTATACATCACCTTTCCAGATCCTGGTTGCTAAGGAAAGTCCAGCCTCCCCAGTGCAGGGATTTGATAAAGTCCTCCCGGAAGCTGGTCCCTTTGGCCCTGGTTGCCAAGGCAACTTCATCCCTCCTCATCCAACAAAAGTCAAGTCTAAGTGGTCCCAAAGACTGCAGCTGGTCTCTGAACTGGCCTTGAATAGAAATAAGCCAGGGAGTTGCGCCCCCCCTCCCCCACCCAGCAGGTCCCAGTTGTGCTTTAGTGAAGGAGCTATGCTGAGCCCTCCCCACAGACTCTGCCCAGGGGTCTTCAGTCCTAGAATTGGGATGCAAAGGCGGGCCCCTCCTCACTGCCAAGGAGCACCCAGAGTTCTGAAACATGCCCCCTGACCCCCCTTTAATTAAAGCCGAGTTCCTGCTTGCTAAGGCAAATCCAGTCCCTAGCAACAGGGCCCCGTGGCAGGAGAAACACTGCTCTAGATGGGGCTTGTGGGCCCGTCCTAGCTGCTTCGAGCAGTGATGTCTTACATGAAGGCAGGGCCAAGTCTTGTGGGAGAAGCCCAGGCACCTCCTGTTGGGGGAGACCCCAGAACTGGAAGAGGCAGAAGGCTAGAAAGATGAGTCACTGCCCAGAGCACCCAAATCGGAATGTGGTCCTTGGCTGACAATCAGAACCCGAGGCCTCTCGCCAATGAGGCAGCTCAGACCCAGGAAATGAGGCCTAGAGGGCTGACAAAGTCTGCATCCTAGGCAGATGCAATCACACCAAAGGATGCCTCAATTCAGAGATCAAGAGACAAGCCCTCGCCTGGCTGGCTGATAAGAGACAGGCTGATAACCCATCGCTGAAAAATGCTGTCCTCAGCAACTGAGCCCAGCAGCCTGCAGCCTGCCTGCCCCACCGAAAGGTCTGGGTCCAGCTGACAGGAGAAGCTCCAAATCTGTACAGCTGGGTCCAGCAGGGCTGGCTATGTCCGTGTCCCATAATGACGCCATCTTCCTAAATCTCAAGCCCAACACTTTGCCCCCTTGCATCCCATGGCCAAGGAGGACTGGCCCTGGGCTGCAGGAGAACCTGAGAGTTAATCCTGAGTGTGAGGGACGCCCCCGGCGGTGGGGGCTGTGCTGGCCGAGCCCGTGTCCTACATCCAGCGGTGCTCACCTTCTGCTCCTCTGGCACCTGGATCTTCCTCGCCTTCTTCATGATGGGCTGGGGCTTAAGTTCCTCCTCTGAGAATCGATGTCTCCGAGGGTCAAAGGTCTCATGGCCGGGAATGCTTGACAGGGCTAAGTCAGCAGGGTCAGGTTCAAAGGTCATCAGCACCTCCACGGTATCTGGGTCCACAGGGCTGGGTGTGTCCCGAGAGGTCAGGCCTTTGGGAAATAAAATGTATCGCCTGAGTGTGTAGTGATTTTGGGAAGGAGGTTCCCAGATGCTACCCTCTACGCAGGTGTCATATCCACCACAAGGAAGGCTACCATAGCTTGCCAGGGATCAACCCTAATATAAAATAGGAAGGTTCCCTAAGCCATAAGGAGGCTTAGAGATAATGAAACCAACTCCACTTTTACAAACAGGGAAACTGAGGCCCAATCGTTACTTAACTTGCCCTAAGTTATACTGGAGCCTGGGCTATTGCTGCTAAAACCTCAGGCCTTCAGAGTCCGTGTTAGCCTCTTCCCCATCGGCCAGCCTGAATCCTTCCCGAATCCCTGGCCAATGCCTAGACCTGTCCAGGAAAAATGGAATCCAAGGCACTGAAAAGACCTCAAGAGCCTCTCAAAGAACAATCAGCTCTCAGGCGTCAGGGAAGGGAAGCAGAAAGGGCTCTGAGATCCCAGGAGGTTGGTTCAAGGGGGAGCAGGTGGCCTGCGCCTTTAAGAGCGAGCGAGCAGGGTCAGCCGAGGACACCGGTTCAGGGCCGAGTCACGTGCGGGCGCCTGCTTCCTCCGCACCCCGCAGAGGTTAGGAGAGGACTCACGTGGCGCGGGAGTGTGCGGCTGGCAGGGGGAGGGCCCTGGCTCTGCCCGGAGGTTGGACCCGTGGCAGGTGTGTCCAGGATTCCCCGACCGACCGGCTGCCCGACCCTGGAGACCCCAAGATGCCAGAGGGAGCACCCCTTTCCTCTCGCTCCTTCGGGTCTCTCGGCTCGAACTTCTCAACCTCCGAGGATCCAGTCCCCCCCTGCTCTCTGGGGAACACGGGAAAACCGGCCCCCTCGACCTTCTCCCCTGCGCCCTAATCCCCTCGCCACTGGGATGCACACGATTCTGCAATCCCGCCCCCCCCCCCTTTTTTCCAGGAATATAGGAAGCTCGGCCCTCGCCTCCATGGGAGACCTGGAAAGAAGTTCCTCGGCCTTCTCCCCTCTGGAGTGCAGGGCCCGGGGCCCTAGGCCCTTTCCAATGGGGGGGACCCCGAAACCAGGGCTGACAGTCCCTTATGTGTAGGGAAACGAAATCTGTGCCCAGCCCGCGCCTTCTCCCCAGTAGAGGGTCTAGGAGTTATAGGTCCTATCCCATGAGTTCCACCCATTCCGGGCCCGGAATATGGGGGTACAGACCACTTCTCACTAAATAACTCCGGTGTTGTGGGCTCCCCAGTCCCGGCTCCACCTCTCCCCGCGTCCCACAGAGAAATCCACACTATCGCCCCACTGGGCAGACTTCCTGGAATTTGGGGCCCCAAGTCCCTCCTCTCTTATGGGTCCCGGAGAGCCAGCCCTTGACCCCCTAGGCCCCAGGGGACACAAAATCCGATTCTCCCCGCATCTCTCAACTAGGGGGCCCCCGAATCCAGGAGCGCGGCCCGGGTCCCACCCATTTAAGCAATACTTACTCTGGTACTAAAAGATGCTCCAGACTCATCGTGTATTTTTTCCATCCCATTGCTGAAACCAATCATGTGTCCATGGAAACCTGTTTGCTTTCATTGGACAATGAGATTACAAATCAAGAACTGGGCTCATTGCTCTTGGGATGTTTTTATTCCAGCTATCTCAGCTGACAGAGAAGAGAAATACATGGGTGTATACTAACCTTATTATATACATGTATCCATAAATATTTCTACATGTAACTATATCTATATTATCTCTATATATAAAAGGCTAATATGCTAAGTGCCCAACCTTTCGACTGGTTGCTATGACACAAACTGACCACCAGGGGGCAGATGCTCAACACAGGAGCTGCCGTGACACTCACTGACCATTTAGAGAGAAATTGCACCACCACGGACCTGGCACACACAAAGCAACACTCGGCTTCCCTCAAGTGGGACACAGGCCCCGCCACCATTCCGGAGCAAGACCCCACCAAATCTCAGCCAACGCTGCTGAGACCCAATGGTGCAAATGTGGGCCGTCTCCAGGCCCAGCCTGGAAACTGTGGCTACGGGCAGAGCCGCCTTGCGCTCCTTTTCCTTCAGGAGACCTGGGGGCCAGGCAGACAGGGCAGGGTCGGGGGGACGGGGAAGATAGGGATGCAGAAGAGACCCCGCGTCAGAGACCCACACGACCGAGATCCAGAGAAAGGGGGGACAGACGGGGTTGCAGAGAGACCGGAGAGGGAGGGCAAGGACCCAGAAAGAGGCGGGGACAGAGACCCAGAGAGGGACAGAGACCCAGAGGGAAAGGTCAGGGACGGGGGCCGCAGGTACACAGAGGGGGGGAGGACAGAGATCGAGAGAGGGATAGAAACTCAGAAAGAGGGGGGACAGGGACCCAGAGATGCAGAGAGAGATGGGGCAGACATAGAAGGGGCAGACATAGAAGAGGGACGGAAGTTCCGACGGAGGTAGGGGAGGGTTGGGCAGGTGAGAGAAGAAAGACAGCTCTGTGATTCCTCTGTAACCTACCCCCCCCCCCGCGCCCTGTACCCCCTCTCCCTACCCCCACACTCCGCAAGGGACAGGAAGGGGCTCTATTCCTGGGGCACATTCCTCATCCCTAGGCTCCATGTGACCCCAGGAGGCCCCGCCCAAGCCCGTGTCACTACCGTGTGAGCATCAGACACACCCCCTCTCTCCTCCCTGGACCTCAGGGGTCCAGACTCTAGAAACCAAAAGGAAGAGGGGATTAGGGCCTAGATTCCTGGGCCCTCCGGGAGGAGGACACCAGGGGTGGGGGTTGCGGGGGAGGCCTAGACTCCTGGGTCCTCGCGGTAGACGGGCTTGGGAGCCGGTACTTTTGGGTCGTGGGTCCTGAAAGATCTGAGGACCTAAACACCTTAAGTGAAATGGGTAAAGGTTGGGAGGATGGATTCCCCGCAGGAGAAGGTAGCTGTGGACCCCCCTCCTCCCCCAGCACCTGAGTCCCTAAGGGAGAAGGGTGTCTGAGTTGGGCGAGGTGGGGGGCTAGAACTCACAGCTGGCTGGTTCTTTGGGCTTGCTGGTCCCTTGCAGAAGGCTCCGCAGCCCAAGCAG